TGTGTGTGTGTGTATGTGTATATGTGTGCGTTTGACGTCTGGGTCATTAGCCAGCTAATCGGTCCAGCTGGGATGAATTAGAGAGTTGTTCTAATAGAGTCCAATAAAACCGCACAGCAGCCTACCTGGAATATTGTTCTAATGATTTCATCTGTTACGCCTCAGAGAGCAGAACCACGACTCCACTAGCAACTGTTTTGGACATTTTTTCCCCCCATTATATATTAACTCCACAGCTCAAAGTCATGCATTAATGACTAGTTAAGCATGGGAGTATTGTGCAGTCATAACCTCACAGTTAATTATACAGACTGTGGTGTGCATGCTCAGTTTATATGGCACAGTGCAAGGGCCTCTGTACAAAAAGAGCGGCGGTGAATGCAGATGTATCCTCAGAAGTGTTCTCAGGTGTGCATAAGTACACTGTACATCACATTTGGGCTCATGAGGCCATCCAGCATGACATATTTTTGAGTATTTGAGTAAGCTCAGAGTGAGAAAATGAACCCTGTGGCATGTACACTGCACATATCATGTTCTGGAAGAATGAGACGGCAGCATAGAAAAATGAGAACTGGAAGGGGGGGGATCAGGGAGAATGAGAGGAGGAATTTGGGAAAAGAAACACGGGAAGAACAACAGGAAGGGAAAGTTGAGGGACCAGGCGTAACATGAAGACAGCCGCGGTGGATAAATCAGCCGGCTGCGGTGACACTCCGGCCCTCTGGCCCCGGCAACAGTCCGCCGCACTCTTCCGCAAAAACACCATTCATTTAAGGCCTTGGAAGAAAGAGCAACATTAATGGGAGAGTAGGAAAGGGTAGAGGGAGATAGGGAATGGGAAGGTGATGCAGAGAAGCACAAAACAGAGGAGAAAGTCAGAAAAATTGATGGATGAAGCGAGAGAGAGGAAGGAGAACACAGAAAATAGAAAAGCATTTACATACTGTATGACAACATAGAGGACAAAGCAAAAGGACAAAGTTCAAGGAATGCAAAGAGGAAGGAGGAAGGGGAAAGGGAGCAGGGTTTGAAATAAACAGATAAAAAGAGAGGCAGAAAGAAACACGACAAAAGCAGGAGTCAGAAGCGGATGTCAGAGGTCAGAGGTTTTAATCAGCAAGTTCAGAAAGACACGGGGCAGGCCGGCGACAACACTCGTCTGCCGTGTGCCAGGGTCACGCTACTGTCTGCTTGGGGGGTCAGGTCACATCTAATATGTCTAATAGGCTGAGCTGCATGGGAAACGATGCACAAACGCTACTGCTGAGCCCCAACCCTTCACATCACCTTATCCCTGACCCATTCATCATGCAGCGCTCCTCCTTTATCCCCCAAGAACATTTGATTAGTCCATGTTCATGCCAGAGAAGGAAGGAATAAAAAGAGTTCAGTGAGGCAGGGATAGTCAGACATAAAAAGCAGAACTGGAGGAGTGTAATCATAAAAATGTCAGTTTTTCCAGCTAGCTGGAATGAGTCGACATCAGGGTGGGTGGCACCCTGCTGCACATGACACATAAAGATGCTAAATTAGGCCCGGATCCTCTTTGCCCAGTTTAATTTAGACAGAACCCGTCACAACACAGACACCCAGGGAGAACAGAGAGGCTGTATGTGTGTCAAAGTGATGTAGGACACCTCCACTCGCAACCTCTTTCTCTCCTTTCGTCCGCGTTTCTCGGCCTCGCACAGGCTGTGACACACCCTGTTGTGTGCAGACTGAACCTTTGAACCTCAGAGTCACCTGGGTGGTTTTGTAGGTGAGGAAAGTACAGGAGAGAGGTGGTGTTGTTGTCCTTAATCTGCTTTACAAGCCTCCACAGTACATGGGAGAGGCTGTCCAGCGCGAGTGTCTAATCTGTAATTGTCCTCTGTCGCGTTGCCTCAGGTGAAACAGCCCTGGGTGGGGCTGCAAGAGTTTAATGGATAGCTAGTAACAATCCCACGCTTGGAGGTGGCTTATTTTCCCAGGCCTGCTCTTTGAACCACGTACCACATGAACAACACACATGCATAAAAATATACACACCTTCACACCTGTGACCTCCTTTTAACCCTTTTTCTGACAGTGTGGTAAGATTAGCAGTCATTACGGTGTCATTATGTGTTCGCTTATCCATAAACGCCTCTGTTATCTCGCTGTAGAGGGCTTAATCAATTCTCTGTCCCTTAGAGTGATGAGATAAAGAGATAGAGGAAAGAGATATGTGAGAGCTTGGACAAGGAAAGAGATAACAACAAATACAGAGTTCTTTGTTGAGTAAGTGATAGACTGCAGTTCAGGTGCACAATCATTTATATTTCATCAACCAGGGCGACAATGTGTACATGATTCAATTCTATTCTACTCTATTATGTAGCACCCCACAATTCATTTGCAGTACAGATTGTTTTGTCTGACTGGTCAACAGGTTTTACTCCTCTGCCCTGACCCTTTTACACCTCACCTCGACCTCTTCAGGTCAAGAGGGCTGTTAACTTGCTGGTTTCTAATTACGGGCTCAGTTATTAACACCTGCGCTACAGAGGTGCAGGGTGTTAGCCAGGTCGTAGTTGGTAATTGTGTGACCCCTCTCTGTGGCTGTGTTCCCGCACTGAGAATGGTCATGGAGCAGAGAGATAAGATGAGCACTTGTTCTTTTGGGTCAGCTGAAAGAGGCTTCATTCTCTCAACACAATCAAGTTTAGTGTAAAGGGGCACTATACTGTCGGTCAGGTTTTTGTCAGAATTAAATTTGTGGGCAGAGACAGAATATGAAAATAATTCTGGTGTGAGTGAGGGAAGAGGGACGGGAGGTCACAACACTTACAACTCTTGACACACACACTTTTGAATAGGTGCAAATAACGATCTCTCTGCCCATAGAAGGGATTCTTAGGTAACTGATAGAGGTTCAAAAGGTGCAAACTAAAAGGTGCAAAACAAAAAAGGTAGCTTATTGGAGCATATCTCTATTAAAAACACACTGATTAGTTGAGCAGGGATGGATTGCCAATAGCATGGCTTTATCACTGCATGCACAGCCAATAACAGGACATTATCATCCTGTATTGAATCTCTTTCTCCGGACAAAACTAATGAACTAATTTAACCTGATCGTCCATTTCTTGTGTCTCCTTAGTTTTTTGAAAACTTCGACAAACTTTAAATCAGGATTTCATTCTAGCTTATGAACGTAATTATATTTCTATTTGACATTTAGTGTCAACATATTGCATATAAACACCTTGCAAAGGAGATAAACATCAGTGCAAAGCTTGGCAAGCTTTCGAAAAAATTCTGTATACGGTAATAGCTCTTCTCTTTCACAATATACATCACTTTCTTCAAAGCAAGACAAACTGTCCATATTCTTCAAGAAGAAAAACTTCCCTCCTGGCAGGAGTCCAAAGTCAATGAGCAAAGATTGCTGCAATGTAATGCTTTTGGACATAGTTGATCCAAATGTAAACAAAAGGGTCTTCGCACCACTAAAACTGAGAATGCAGGATTTAACCCGGATTTCAGACTTATCTGGCAGGTGTTCATACAGAAGGATCAACATGAGACAACAACTATATCTGAGTTCTGAATATTTTATGAGGGTTTGTAAAAGGTTTATTTTTATATCAGTAACGTAAACAGCATTTAACCAAGCCTGTTTTTCTAATTTAAGTGTCAATTAAATTTAAATCTGTCTTCTTCACTCACTCACACAGTCAAAGTCATAGAAACCTACATAATGTTTAAACACTCAATGTTTAATCCAGTGATTTGAAAAGAAAGGGAAAAAATACAGTTATCTGCCATATGTGAATGGCCTCTACAAGTACATTACATGTCATAGAGCCTTTGATTAATGTTAGATGTCTTTCATACACAGCACTGTGATCTCTTTCACACACAAACACACAGCATGATTAAATTAAAGACAGAGATCGTGTAATTACGCCTGCGTAGGTGTCCTAGGAGATATATGGGCCTTGGGGGTAAGAAGTTCGTCATAAATTAACAGAGAAAAAACAAAGTGGCACTTTTTCTACAGCCAGGAGTAACAAGCAAACAACTTCATGTGGATATGTGGACAGTAAATTTCTTGAACATATGCCCACATGAAGGCTGAAGACTAATGAGAAACTAGTGTGTCCAGGAAGGAGAAGACATAAGCATGATATACAGAGTCCAGGAGCATCTCAGAGGAGCTATCTCTTTTGCAGATTTCTCAACCAATACTTTATATTGTGTCAATATGTCATGTGATTTACACGATTGTGCAAGAACACGTAAATTCAAAGCGCCACTGAAACACGCTGCACAACCTGCCTTCACAAGTTCTACTCTTGATGTTTACCACTTCCTCCCTTCTTTTCTCCACCCCACCTGTCCTCCCATCATCTCTCCCTCCAGGTCCACCATGTTCCCTGCTAACCTCCTGCTCCTCATGGTCCTGCTGCTACCTCAAGCCTCGTCTGGTCGCCAGGGTGGAGACACCAGCAAGATCGACCATGGCAGAGTGTCGCCCATACCTTCTTCCTTGTCCCCCACACCAGCTGGTTCCCTCCTGAAGCCCAGTCTGGCTCAGACCATCCAGAGTCTACTCCTGAGCCGGCTGGGCCTGCAGTCGCAGCCTGACCCTCGGCCTGGAGTGCCGGTGCCCCGGTACCTCCTGGATCTTTACCGCTTCCACCAGCAGCAGTACCATCTAGTGGAGGACCCTTTATTTAGCTTCCCCAGCCAGCACATCCAGCAGGCTAACACTATACGCAGCTTTCACCACAATGGTAAGCTCACTGACACATCACGATGCCATGCTGTCAGCCTGTTTTATTGGATGTAAAACGACAATTAAAATATTGGAAATGTAATTGTTTGAACTGAGTCTTTTGCTTCAGGGAATCTGTTTATGCGTTCTGCTGAATTCTTTTATCAGCCACAGATGACTCACCATTTAACAATCACTAGTAAGATCTATATGTGTGCTCTTAGATAAGATGGGTTGTCAATGTCTTAAAGTCTTCTTTCGAAACATGTATCTCACACTAATGGAGATTTTGTCTGCACTCTCTGCGCTGCACTTCTGATCATGGCTGTATTGACCTGTTAGGAGGCCCCAGGGAAAACATTTGCTGTTGGGCTCCCACTTAGCAAACACCAATTTTTGTGCAAGTATCCATTACTGAAGCTCTTAAAATTATACTATGAGACAGGGTCCCTGAAACTGTTTTTGAATCATTGAATGCATGCTGCTGTAGGAATGATTGACTGCTTAAGAAACTCAAATTAAAAGAAAATGCAGTTCTGTAGTCAGTGTATTGCCTCATTCAACTGGTTTTATTGTCAGCAACATGTTAATGAGCTGAGACTGGAGACACCTATTTGCCAGGCCAATCGAGCTGAGAAAGTGATCAGAACGCCTGAACACACATGGAGTCTCTTAATCTAATATAAACCCTCTGGGGACGGTACAGAAGGAATTCACATCAGATGCCCTCTACAAGACCTGCCTACAACATTTGCTAATGATGCAGAAGTTGATATCAGTTGCTATTTTTATTTCCCTGGTGGAAATTCCCAGACAAATTTGCAATTAATCAAAATACCAAAGCTAATTGACATGCAGTGAACATGAGGCATTTTGGGACACGGGGCCCTGGGGCAAAAAACTGTTAAAAGCACATACAGTACACACAACCACATGTAACTCTTGGCCAGGAGCATATTTTACTTAACTAAATTAGAACCAACACATCTAGATACAAATGGATGCTTGTAAAGGTTCAGTTTACTTTGGGAAAACAGTTAAAAACATGCATTGTTAACATGACAAACAACAGTTCTGACTCTTCAAATTGTCAAAAGTTCTTTAAAAAACTTATATTCCTTGGCATTCATAGAGTATGAATCATTTAAAATATGTTCATAAGAATTATTATTATCAACCAATAATTTATCAACTATAATTAAATTAATAATAAACATAATATACATAATAAAATAAATGTCCCATTATTAGCCAATAATTATTGTGCATCCTTATTTGCTGATATTGGTGTAGTTTTTTAATTTTCTTAATTTTGAGACCATTCAAGAAAGACCTGGCAAATGACTATGAATCTGACTAATGTAGCCAGCATCTGTTTGTGTTCTTGTTGAGTGTAAATAAAGCCTCAGTAAGTATAAACCACACTAAAGCCCTATACTATCCTATCCTTGTCTTTCTCCCTCTTTCTTTTAGAGCCTCTTGGAGACAGTCCCATAGCAGAGGATGGTAAAAGGGTCCACATCTCCTTCAATATTTCCTCCATCCCTGAAGATGAGAGGGTGCTCTCTGCTGAGCTGCGGCTCCTCCGCAGTGACAGAGCCTACTTGGGTCCTGGGGCCCACAGACTAAACATATACCTCTCTGAGCACCATGAGGACCCTGCACCCACCCTGCTGGAGACAAGGTTACTCACCACTGGTCTCCATAGTCATAAAGCAAGTGGTTTCTGGGAGGCTTTTAGCCTAAATACAGAGCTCCTCCATAAGGCTCTTGCTGAGACTGGCATACTGGGCTTCCTTCTGGAGGTCAGACCTGAGAACAGCACCACCTCACTCCCTGACCAGAGCGTCTTCTCTGCTGCAGGTGAGGAGGATGCAGAGAAACACAAAGAGGGACACCTAAGGGTATGCAGGTCTGTGGGTCAGGATGAGCACAGCTGGGCCCAGGAGAGACCCCTCTTGGTGACTTACAGTCATGACGGGCGTGGAGAGCCCTTAGTCAAACACGGCAGGAGGAACCCCGGTGGTGGCCACGGGATGAGAGGGAGAAAAGGGACAAAAGAGAGGGCCAGGAGCAGCAGCAAGGGCCACAATAGAGACCAAGCCTGGGGGAGGGCCAAAAAAACGGGGTATACAGTGCCGGGGTTGGGGCATGATGATAAAGGAAGGGTCAGTTGGAGCGAAAGTGGAAGGGTGAAAAGAAATGGTGGTCGTGCTGCCAAACTGAAACGCCTTTCCCGCAACAGATGCCGCCGTCATCCTCTATATGTAGATTTCAACGATGTGGGCTGGCACAAGTGGATCATTGCACCCAGCGGCTACGACGCCTTCTTCTGCCTGGGAGAGTGTCGCTTTCCTCTGGCCGACCACATGAACTCCTCCAGCCACGCCATGGTGCAAACTCTGGTAAACTCTGTGAATGGAGCAGTGCCCCGGGCCTGCTGCGTCCCCACCTCCCTCAGCCCAATCGCCCTGCTCTACCTGGACCCTCAAGACCGAGTTGTGCTGAAGAATTACCAGGACATGGTGGTGGAGGGCTGCGGCTGCCGGTAGTGGGCAGGAGAACTCACCCAGAGAAAGCCAGACATGGATGGAGGAGCATCGAGGAAACAGGAGAAAGACAGAAGCATAAAAAGGCAGATGGTGGGAGGAACAGACTGTAGAGGCCAGCTAACTGCAAACAGACATGGAAACTGATAGAGACAAATGTAGCAGCATAAGAAGGATGAGTGGAAAGGTGGGAGATAATGGAATGCGTATAGCAGCTAAATCATTATCAGGAGTAAGGGTCAGACATAGAAAGAGAGAGAAAACGTGAGAGAAACAAACAGCATCTGCCACACAACAGGATAAATGATTAGACAATAAGTCAGAGAAGTGCAAGCAAGAATATAGTCAACACAGGTAAAGCGCCAGGAATTACTTTTCACCTTTTTCCCATTTAGCAATGATGCAGCTGTTTACACCATCAACTGACAGGCAACTTGTGCTCTCATGAGAAGCCAGCGCTTTAACATCAGCAGGAGTCTATGCTATATTCCAGTGTTTGCCACTCATCTCACTCTCACACAACTGTCTGACAGGCACATGTGTTTAGCTCTTGTGGAGGGCAGCTGAAATGATAAACATTCAGAGTAGGCGGTCGTGGACATACTTCAATTAAAGCTCTGGAGCAGAATTGTGTAACTTTTTGATGGACTTCCTGATGATCAACATCATTAGCAATACGATGATGGCACTAGCATGGCATCTAAACTTTTGTGTGACAGTTGTTGTTTCTGCAGTATTGGAACCGAGAAGTAGGGTGCATCTGTTTTTATGAACGTTAATATAATGACAGCTTACAAGCACCCCTACATCACAAGCTATTTAAAACCACAACAATAATGCTGAGGAACTATTATGCTATTGTTTGAATGTACTACTATCACTATTATTTAAAAAAAGAGACTTTTTTGTACATTCCTTTTGCAGACGTGAAGAAAATCCAAGTGATGGTTGTCTTGTGATTATACATAATTCCACTAAATGGCGATCCTAACTTAAAAGACACATTATGTATTTAAATAGCAGCAATATGGTGTATTTAATCTTGAAAATATTTAAGATACCTGCACTCAACGGAGCATACAGCAAACTGAAAGCCTGCCACCCACCTGAAATAAGTTATGGTCGCTTTACATCTGTACAAATGTTCAGTGTATTGAATTAACAGTCTGTATTACTTAAACTTCCCACCTTATCATTGCACACATTTTGGTGTACAACACATGATAGCAGACATAAGTGGTGTTGCCTTTAAAAACTCAATTAACAAGTCAATTGAAAGCTCTATGTATTGTAGCTACTGAAGTGTGTAACAACAGGTGTCTTTGCTAGTTGTGTCTGCATGTGTCAAGAAGACTGATATTAAAACTGGGACTTTAGTGCCTTTCAAACAGGGGCTTTAAAAGTGTTCTCTGCTGAGCTTAGTAATTGTTTTTCAGTGTTGCATTTTCCTCTCTAAATGGAAACATTTAAGCAACAGCTTGTAAAATGTTTGACAATATACCTCTAATAAACAAAGCAAACAGCACAACTGTCACGTTTTCTTCTTTTTCTGGGACCCAGCGCATGAAGAAAGTCTTACATGTATAGATTTTTCTTCAACTTACAGTGGAATTATTGCCACGTTCAGGAAGAAAAAAGGAAGCCAGAGATTCCACAGAGAGCGCATATCTAAACAGATTTGTGTATGTGATACTGTAGCTAAGGAAGCAGCTTGAAATTCTCACATCAAAACAGCTTGGAGTTTGAAAGTGAGATTTAAATGCAAGGGGGAAAGGTCTCCACTGTACACCCTTACTGCAAGAACCAGTAAACCACTGTATCACTTCACACTACCACCCGTGAAGAGTGCACACATGTTTCTGATTCCAGATATCGCACATGGACACAGAAATAAAGAGAAGGTAGATGAAGAGGAACAAAAGTTTACCCGCAGGTCATTCCTCAATGTAGGGGTCAAACCGACTCAACGGCGTCTTTGACCTCCGCATTCCTACGTGTTTGAAAAGAGGACCCTGCCCTCTCAGCCACCACCAGATGGACCAGCTCTCTGCAGGTGAGTGGAGCCCACAACCTGTCAGGGGACACGGTCTGATCCGGTTTCACACAAAACGCAGAAGTGTGAAGTTGGCACGAGGTAGCGAGCAGAAAGAAGTACCTAACCCATTAATGTCCTACAAAGCAGCTACAGTAATTGAGATTATATACAGACTACATCAGACTCTTAACAATCAGAGTAAAATATCTAACTTTGCCTCCACTCTTTTCCTCTTTTTCACCTAAATCACACAGGGATTGGAGATTACTTCCCAGGAATATATCACATGGTCCTGGACAGGATTTCTTGTCATAAATAAAGTTAGATTTTGAACACAAAACCATGGATAATTCATGCATGAATTAATAAAATAATATATTATGTAAAAACTATAATATAATACATAACAATATAACAATAAACAAGACATAAATCAAATGATTTATAGCCAAAACAATTACTGCAGATTTTCAAGAACAACAAAGTAATAGTACGAATTGTAGCTGAACTAAAACCTGCGATGCATGCTTACCAGTTTGGTGGACAGATGATTAATTGTAATTTCCTCCCAACATAAAATCAAACTTTTAAAAAAAATTAACAACTGTATTACTCCTTAGTTGTTACTTGATGTTACCAAATTGTATTCACCTGCAAGAGTCTCCTCTATGGCAAGATATTCCTGAGCTGCTCCTGGCCTTCCGTCAGCCATCTTGGTTTAATTTGTGTTGCAGTAGGCTGGCCGTTTGTTGGCAGTGTGTGGGACGACGCATTAGCATCCGCCGTGGTGGCTGATGTGCAACTATAACGTCAAAACCCATGCATACACGAAAGCGAGTTTTGAATTGCTATCCAGTGTAGCGAAAACATGAACGGGTCATAAAAGGCTGTTTATTCCAGTCTTCTAATGTCGTTCTTTTATGTTCATTATCAATTATTACTTAGGTGGAAAAAAGACACCTCTGATCATCTGTTTTTCTGCATATTCTCCTCGGATGTTTTAATACATCTAAGTGGTTATAGGAGAGAGTCTTACCATCACTGTGCTGGCCTGATGTCGAATAGCATTGCTGGAAAATTCGTTGCATGCAGGCAGAATATAGAGAGGGAGCGCTTTTCTGCACTGGATGTCCACCTGCATATCTTGTTGATCTCGTTGAACTGCCTGGATAGTTTTTGTCTACAGATTTTGAACACTATTTCATTATAAATATACAATATATTCTGCCACACAGCTGGACCATAAGCTGCCATTTTAGCATGAAAAGTAACGGCGCAGAACTGCTGCATACAGCTGGAATTCTGTAAACTTCCTTCTCCTGCATATTTCACCTCTCAACACCTGTCAGGAGTACACCGTGTGTGCATGTCGAGAAAAACAGAGAAAAGCAAAGAAAATAAAGTGTAAAAGAGGCAGATAAAGATAGACACACATATGATATCATGTTCACAGATGGTATGTGCCTCTGCTTGTAGATAACTCTTTGGGTTAGTGCCAGTACATTTCATCGCATGGGCTGTAACACATCGTGGTTCACTTAGTGGGTGAGTGATAACCTCTGGCCTTTTTCCCTCTATGTCCCCCCTACTCACTCTTTCACCCACAGTCCATTCCTTATTCTACCTTTCCTGACCCATCTATCTCTCTCATCCGTCAGCATCCCCTTTGCAAATAACAGCTTCTTCAACCTTGCTTTTATCTCAGCCTATTTGTCAATCACCTGCCCATCCTTGCACAGTTTTCGCTTCCAAGGCTTCACCTCCTTCAGTGTGACCCATCGACTCCTTCTTTTCACAGGTGCCGGATTAGAAACAGGTGTTAATCTGCCCATTTGCCCCTCATAATGAAATGAGTGGAGTGATCATTGATAAGCCCTGTCCTGTTAGTTCATTCCCTTTTATGTGCTGCTTATTGGATTGTAAAAAACACCATCACTGATGGGAGAAATGTTTCTGTTTTGGATCTATACATTAAAGGAATAGTATTGTTGAAAGCCTGTCTGGTTGTCTGACTCATGTTTCTTACAGTTTCTTACTGTTTTTGCAATATTATCACAGGAATCATGGCCAAAACTACAAAAATAAGACACAGCAGGTTGTATGAAACCAGAACATCCCTTTAACATCAACCAGAGTCCTGCTGGTGCGACGGTCAGCACAAACTTATGCTGTGCAGCCAAACTTTGTTCAATCGATCTGTGTTATTATTAATTATAATGGAGATGCTAAAATTTTCAAAGATACAAAATATGTCAAGCTGAATTTTTGGGTAAAATAAAAAGGGCCTGTATCTGGAAAGATCGTATGGTATTCAAGTTTATGGAAATGTATCCAGATCTGTATATCATAATAAAATCACACCATATAAAAATGAACATAAAAAGAACCATGTCTGTACTCTTCTGGATAAGGACAGTATGTGTCCATATTCAAACATATCACCAGCTTGGATACTACCGGACTTTTGTGCATTTATTGCAGACATCAAGGGATAGAGCTGGAACAAGCTAATGAAGAATATACGGTACATGTATATGTGATACTGTCCGACAGTGTGGATGCTTTTATAGGGGAAACAATGTAAAGGGTTAAACTACGAAACTTGATACGTGTTTAATTGTTATATGTTGTGTACAATATCACAGACATTGCTGATCAGATACTGCTGTATTCTGACTTCTTTAAAATTCAAGGGGTTGTGTCAAAACTCATCATACCTTGACCTCTCCTTTCATCAGGCCTGCTTGCTGTCTCTATCTCATATCTATCTTTCTCCCTCTCTCCTTCCTCTCACAGGTGCTCTGGTTATGAATTTTTGAGGTTGAAGTTGTAGAGCACCAAGACAGGATATGACCAGGCTTATCTTGTCAGGTGTGGAGTCTGTTTGAAGCTGGGTAGCAGCGGCCTTGACCCAGTCAGCCCTGAGGAACACCTTCCCTCAGTCCATAAATCATGAGGAAGGCTACGGAAGAGCTGTGGAAGGTTACTCCCAGTGACAGTGCCGCACGGACACATGGCCGCGCTTCTGTCCAGGTGTCCGGGTTTATCTGTGATGTATGCCAGATAAGCACTGGGAAAGCAGAGGGGAGTACAAATGCCTCACATTACAGAGAGTTCTTCACACAAGATAATTAGATAATTACAACCAGAAGACGGTTCACAAAAATTGTGTGTGGCGATGAGTCCAGAGGAAATTTGGCTCTCTATCACTCTGAATTCCCATTTAAAATGTTACTTTTTAATGATATCCTCAATATACTCAACATAGATTTCCACTTCTTTTCTGAGACAAGGTGTTTTTTCCGTTAGTTTGGCAAGACAGATGCGTCATACCCATGAGCCTCTGCTGCCGTTGGTAAGGAGATTAAGCTGGTCTATGGCGCAAAGTTTAGCAGAAAAACACCCGGGGACTCAGTTGGGAACAAAACATTTTGCCATAATTGCTGAATTTATCCAAAATTCATCCATAATCCAAAACTGAATTAATGTGAGATACAGATTGTAAAATCTGTTTTACAGTCTTTTTATCTTTAGGCAGACATAACAGTGGTTTCCTAGATGTATGCACTTTGTGTATTATAGTCAACTTTTCACCTCAAGTTTTTATATACATCTTAAATTTTTCATCAGAGAATTAAATATTTGTGATGTTGTGGTTAAACTTGATTAAACTGGGAGAATTCATGTACATGGTATGGAGAAAATGCATGGGGATTTAACTTCCAGAACAAAGACTCAAACAAATAACTTAATTTTGATTCTATTTATTTATTGGCCTAAAACAATTCCTTGGAAATAAGCATATGACTCGTTGTGTATGATTGCAGAATGCAAACTCCACCTCAGGTTGTTAAAAAGCTGAGTAAAAACCACAGAAACAACACTCGAGATATGACTTCAGTATCTTCAGTTTTAAAATGTGTCAGCAAACAGTGCTGCAGTTGAACTTTGGAACACAGCCCAGTTATTTAGTATCGTTGCATTATCCAGGAACAACTGTTCAACGTGAGCACTGTCATACACCGGTGACAGGTGTAAGGATTGCTTCCTGGTTCACTGCAGTACAGTCTGAGTGTAGACGGCACTCATGAGGACCGGCCTGCCACTCTTCATGCCCACTCTGACAGAGCTGAGGTGAGCAACAGACCGAGGCAGACTTGTTCGTCCCTGGTGTCCCCTGCAGACTGACAGCCTAGTCCACGGAAACTACAGTACTCCCTCCTCCCTGTTAGACTGTTGGACTCACTGCTGGGTCAACTGTGCAGCCCACCCACTGTACATATGAAACATTTAATGATATCTGTTTAAAGCATGTCTTGGATACTTGGAACTACTACTATAGCTTATACATTTATTTATTGTAATATGACGATTGAATAAACTCTGAATTTGAACCATTTCTGTACACACAAAAACACACAAGCATGTTTAGACAGTCTCAAAAATTTGGGAAACCTGTTGGCTGTTTTACAAATGTCCTCTTT